TTTTGAGTTGGAGTCTCACTCTGTCACCCAGACTGGAGTGCAGTGGCCGCTCCCGGCCACCGCAGCCTCGACCTGTTGGGCTCCGGTGATCCTTCCTCCTCAACCTTCCAAGTAACCGGAATTACAGGCATGCGCTACCACGCCCGGCTGATTTTTTGATTTATTGTAGAGATGAGGTCTCGCTGCCCAGGCGGGTCGCGATATATTGCCTTTTTAACATATGCCTACAGAGTTTCCCCAGACTGTATCAGAATAATAACATGTATTCATATACCACTTCCAGATACCCCAGTGACAGGAGACACAACTTCTTCCTGCAAAAGGTTATTTTTAAAAGTCCGTGTCTTTGGGGAGGCTGGAGGAGTGAGTCCTTCTCCAAATCTGAAAGTCTGTGGTTCTATGAACCTGGGTGGCCTGATGGGGCAAAATCCTAGCTTGGTTTTAAAGTGCTTACCATCACGAGACAAGCTGCTTCTCTTTAGGGATACAGGGGGCCTCCATCTGGTCAGGCCCTGGTTCCCAAGCGTGTGTTTCCTGTGCTTGGACAGGCTCCTCACGGGATCCATCCACATCTTGGCAGCCAGTGGGCCCAGGGGGACATGTGATTGGGAACACTGTGATACCACACTCCCTTGGATTTCCATTCTCCTCCTGCACAGCTGCAGACAGAAGTGTGGGTGTCACTTGCTTCTGGACCTGGAGAATTGCTCTTCTGGCCCAGCCCCTTGCTTTTCTCTGGAGAAGGGGCGCTCCCTGTGATTTGATGATTGCCACAGCATTGACCCTGCTTTGGCTGCACATGTCTGCGTCCGTCTTCCAAGGGAGAGCCGCTTTTCCCCCCTCAGAGACAGCCTCTGGCCCTTGGCGTACAGTTTGTGACATCACAGATGTTACCATGGTAACAGACGTGTTATAAACACAGGATAATAGCTCTGTTTTTGCTTTTTTTTTTTTTTCCTCCATGCAGTGAAGGGAATCACCATGATCCTTAAATAATAATCACAGGCTTTTCTGCAGACTCTAGGAAATGAACAGAATAAGACTTTGCCATACAGGGCAGTCATTTAAAGAACTGTCATAAGCATATTGAAAATGATAAAAAGTATCGACCAACTCTTTTTATGCAACTCTTTTTACGCAAATATGCCTCTATTCTTTTGGTTTGAACAAATGTAAAACCTCCTTCTTTCCTAATTATAAAAATCACATCATGAACAAAGTCTGAAGTGGCAAAAAAAAAGTGTCAGCAAGAATTGTGCACGATAACTCAAGTTAATTATATTGTAACCCTCATGTAGAGACTTAAGTGTGGGCTCACCCTCCTTGGGACTTCATTCCAGGAGGGTTGTGCCTGTAAGGCATGG